TATCTGTTCCTTCCTCATCAAGCCCACAACTATGGCCTCTATTGAGTACTACCACATCATGTCACTGTCTGGACTATAACACTATCCCATTAACTGTTCTTGCCCCCAGTCTTGCATTGTCGATACATCCAGGAAAATGTTCTCAATAAAACAAAATCGATCATGTCAAGTTTCTACTTACAAATTCTCAATGAATTCATACTACACACACACACACAAAACAAAAAACTCCTTGATTATACAGAATGCCTTTCAGGACTTGATGTCTACATTTGATGTCTACCAACTTTGTCGTTGGCTTGTTCCCAATCCCAAGCTCTCCTTCTCATCCTATGATCAGGTCAGACCAAAATACATGCTGTACCCTGAAGATTCCTACCTCTGGAACTCCACTGTCTCTGTGTAATCTGTCACAGGGAACTATAACCTTCATTGAGGTTATTTCCTCACCTGTCTTCTTCAACATTTCCCAACTTCATCTATTATGACTGACTAGACTTGACTATTCAGAGTCCTAGGCCTCTCCAGGAATTTTCTGCCAGGAATATCGGAAAATACTGCCTCTTTCCACTGGGGTTTCTAAGCTGGTATGATGTGGGTCTTGGGAGTCCTGGCAATCATTCTGGCTGCCATGTGATAAAATCTAGCTTGACAGATGGTAGAGATTGCTATTTGTATCCCAATATCCTTCTTCAGCATTCTTCAAGAAGGAACCCCTGAATTTTAACTAGATACATGTTGACCCATAGTAACGACTGCCTCTCCCAGGCACCCTTGCAGCTAGGTGTGGCCATGTGGTTAAGATCTAGCCAATGACACATGATGAGAAGTGATATGCACAACTTCCCTTACAAAGCACAGTCATGAGGGTGAACCACCTTGGCCCATATGGAACAGGGTAACATTCTAAGGATAGTAGAGTAGGAAGACAGAAAAAATCTGTGTCTCAGGTGACTTTGTAGATCCAGTTGACATACATACGGGACTTTTATATGAGAAACTTCTATTGTATTTAAACAATTATAGGGTCTCTGTACATACAACCACACCTAGACCCCAACTAATGTATAAAGTGAGAGAAAGTATTGTCCCATGATATCTTCTTTGTACAGGGAAAGCCATGAAGACATTAAGACTCTTCATCAGGAATGCCTTGAAGTGAGAGTCATTGCTATTTGCTAGTTTCCCCAGAATTAATGAAAGTTTGTCCCCAAAACAATATTCCTGATTAAGATATGGGAATTCCAAGTAGTTAAAATTGCCTTGGAGATGAGAGTGTAAAAGGGTGACTCCATTGGAGAGTGGTGACTCCCCACAGAGTAGGAGAAAATGTCTCAGATACAGAAGGAATAATATGCAACAATATCTGTTCCCTGCCTGCCCTGCATCTTGGACCATATTGAATCCACAAGTGTAAAGTGAGGAACAGAAACTGGTGGAATAGATTTGGCTGACAAAATAGCCCAGAGTCAAGGAGAGGGCATAAAACCTATTGTCTATCGGATACTCTAAGACTTAGCAACTTCTCTTAATAGTATCTTTTTGTTGTTGTTGTTGTTCATTTAAAAAAAAAAACTGGGGGGCTGGTGGGTTAACTAAGTTGGTTAGAGTGTGGTGTTGATAACACCAAGCTCAAGGTCAAGGGTTCTGATCCCGGGACCCGCCCAGCCACCCAAAAAAAAAATTTTAAAAAAGGGTGGTAAAAATATAACCCTTTCGATAGTTCTAAAAATAGCTTATCGGGCCGGCCCGGTGGCGCACTGCTACAGTGCGCTGCTTGGGAGTGCGGTGGCGCTCCCGCCGAGGGTTCGGATCCCACATACAGACCGGTTCCCGCTCACTGGCTGAGCGAGGGGCGGGCGCAGCACCGAGGGTTGTGATCCCGTTGCCGGTCCCGGTCCGGTACGGGCACGACACTGAGGGTTGCGGTCCATTGCCGGACACGAAAAAAGACAAAAAGGGGAAAAAAAAAAAAAAGCTTATCAATTAATTGTCCTGGAACTGCTAGTCACATTTTCTATACATAATTTTGCCTCCTAATACTTTCCTGCTTTATCATATTCTCTATAACAAATATTCCTTTAAAGTTAGTTGTAAAGGGCCGGCCTGTGGCTCACTCGGGAGAGTGCGGTGCTGAAAACACCAAGGCCACGGGTTCGGATCCCATATAGGGATAGCCGGTTTGCTCACTGGGTGAGCGTGGTGCTGACAACACCAAGTCAAGGGTTAAGATCCCCTTACCGGTCATCTTTTAAAAAAAATAAATAAATAAAAATAAAATAAAGTTAGTTGTAAAGATGAAAAGGTGTTGAAGTTTTTGAACAGATAGGGGAAGAAGATATTTGATAAGAGGATAGAGGCAAAGTAAAACTGCTAAGAAGCAGGCAATATAAAATGATACCAAGAGTTCAAATCCAAAGGAGAATGTAGATGTTTACATTCTGGTTTATCAGACTTCAGGATTTCAAAATCCAGTCAACTTTCTTTTTTTTTTTAAAAAAAAGATGACCGGTAAGGAGATCTTAACCCTTGACTTGGTGTTGTCAGCACCACGCTCACCCAGTGAGCAACCGTCCATCCCTATATGGGATCCAAACCCGTGGCCTTGGTGTTATCAGCACCACACTCTCCCGAGTGAGCCACGGGCCGGCCCAGTCAACTTTCTTTTAAAGTTTAGGGGATTGACATAAGGATGAAAACTTTTTACATTTCCAAATTGTAAACATTAAAACATGAAAATACAATTGAATAATTTTAGTTTTAGATTTTTTCCTCATTTCAGCCCAAACTGGTAAAAATGACATCAGGCAGAACACTGGTTCCTGGTTTAATAAGCAGTGAATAGCAAATTGATTTTTTTTTTTTGCTACATTTTTAATAGATTCTTCATGGGTAGATGCCCTTTTCCAACAATGTGTTTTCCTGCTCAGTATAAGATAAAGAACTTTTGCTACTTAGCTATATTTCTAATCAACAGCTGTGACGACATGAAACATCTGAACCATATATTTTAAGACCTGATATATACACAGCCTTCTTGGACAATAATCATATCACTTACAGTTGTATAACACAACGTTTCAAATCTTTCATATACATTTACATGTTAATCATCTTGAGAAAATTTGTTTTTTTTTTAAAGATGACCGGTAAGGGGATATTAACCCTTGACTTGGTGTTGTCAGCACCACACTCACCCAGTGAGCAAACCGGCCATCCCTATCTGGGATCCCAACCCGTGGCCTTGGTGTTATCAGCACCACACTCTCCCGAGTGAGCCACAGGCCAGCCCCTTGAGAAAATTTGAATTCCAGAAATATCAACTCTGCCTTTGTTCTGAGGTACTCATTAATTTTTATATCTCTTTCAGATGGTGAATGTACATTATTTAGTTCTATTTTAGGAATTACATAATATTGTTCTACCTACAAACATTTGAGCTATCGTTTTGTGAAAAATGCTAATTCCTACTTGTAAAGGTGTTCTTGGGACTCTGTCACAAGTGTTCTGACCCTGAGTATGTGAATGAACTTCAGAAATGTCACTACACCTTTGAAATTATGGAAATATGAACATGTACATGCACTTTCCTGGGGAATAGTAAAAAGGTTTATATTTTCAGTTAAGATCCAGGTACCCTAACAGAAAAAACGCTGCTCAACTAGAGGAGATAGAGGGAACTATTATGACTTAAATTTAAGCCTAAAACCAAATATAAACAAGTTATTTGCTATCTTATCCTTTTGAAAACACCAATGCCACATATTATCTGAATTAAAAGTATTTGAAATAATCTGGGTTCTCAGCTTTCCAGACTACAGGCACAAAGATACAGAAGATAATTAAGGTCATTCTAAATCTTACAAATGGTAGTTCTGCAAATGACATTATATTGAACATTTGCTAAAAGATGTGCTGATTAGTTGGAAAACTGTGACAACTATGCTTTCCAAGAAGGAATTTCAACACTGCTAGTTGTGTCATTCACTGTGCAGCAAAGGTTTCAAACATTGAGCAGAACCACTGAATTATAAAGTCAGGAAGCCTGGGTTCTAGTACCAGTTTTATTTGTAACTAACATATGCAAATCACTTATCTATAAAAGAATGGTTAACATCTACTTCTTAATTCACAAATATATCACAAAACCAAAATCATTCCCAAGGAAACCTCATTGTAAACAAAGATCTTACTACTATTTTGCCAAGGCTTTAACTCCAAGGTTGAGAATGACAAAATGGAAAATTTGTCCTTTACATATCAGATGCATACCTTAATTCTGCAGATGGTTAATTGGGTTGAAATAAGTATAGCTATGTTTCAACCTTATAGAATGAACAGCAATCAACAAAAAGTTTATGATGAAGGGCCGGCCTGTGGCTCACTCGGGAGAGTGCGGTGCTGATAACACCAAGGCCACGGGTTCGGATCCTATATAGGGATGGCCGGTTGGCTCACTAGCTGAGCATGGTGTTGACAACACCAAGTCAAGGGCTGAGATCCCCTTACCGGTCATCTTTTGGAAAAAAAAAGTTTATGATGAAGATAAAGTTGGCTAAAAATAGCACTATTGAGAAATACCTTTCTATGCTAAGAGCAGTGCTTATACTATACCTGATGTCCAATGAAACAAAATTTAGCCTTAGGCCATTAAAGCATATTTACCCTTCGAAGGAACATATACTGCTAGCACAGGGATCTTATTTCATTTAAAATGATGTTAAACAGAAATGTCTTGTAGATTCAAATGGCCAGTCAAAATGGTTAAGAAAACTTATTTATGTGGCTTTTAAAAAAATCTTTTTCTCTCTGCCTCTTTTTTCATTCAAAAATTCAGTTCCCTGTCCAGGACCATCCATACTCCTCTGTCCTCTGCCAGGGTGTAAGAAATGTTAGCAATCTGTCATTAGAGAATAAACATAGAGATTTGCATATTATTGAACACAGATTCAGGAAGATAATTCTAAGTGCATATTAAAAAAGTATACACCACAAACATCTTCATATGTATATGTACACCATTTATTGTGCATATGTATTGTGACAACTATAGGTATTAATAAACCTTCAAAAGGAAAGCACCTGTATTTTCTTGTATTTAACAATGTCAATTTTGTATGATTTAGCCTCTATTTCTGAAATTTTCCTTACATATGACAGAAATAAAGACTGGAGTATGGTTCACAGAGAAACACAGAACATATACAAATACCATTATAAAATAACTCTGTATACCACTGCTTGGGGAAATATTTCAGAGAAAACATACTTTCACTATTGGCCCCAAATGCCATCACCCAATTATGTTCTTTAATTGTCAGCTTTTAATACAAAAATACCTTCAAGCTGATAATCAAGAACATTTACAGTGACTTACAAAACTGACAGAATATTTCAATGCTACACAAAACAGTTCTATACAGCTTAAAGTTTTAAAGTTCTTTGCTGGCACTTGATTTTATAGTTAATAACACAATAACTACTGATCTCAATAAAATACTGTTTTTAGCTTATACATATTTTCAAAACCAGTATTACCTCACAAAAACAGTAAAGAATAAATCACTTCCTGCTGAAGAATCTTCTAAGACGAACACCAAAACTATACAGCCAAAATATTTTAGGGAAGCAAATAAACTTAAGAAAAGTCATGACTAATGGATAAAAATTTACATTACCCAATTATATATCCAGTGAAAAAAGTATTGTTCCTCTGATTCAATGAAGCATGTACCAGGTTTAACATCAAAAACAGGAACTTACAAAGCAAGTTACCTTTATAAATTTGGTTTAGAAGGGTGTTTAAATTGGTGACACTACTAGAATGGATTTTTTTAGATAAAAAATTGATTACATTTAGCAAATACACATTTTATATTCCAAAAACTGAAATTTATTTTAAAACAGTAGACTCCTGATTTTTGTTTCTTTACTTTCCGTGAACTTGCAAGCCATTATGCACGTTATCAAAATAAAATCACTACTCAGTAACCTTAATACACATATCCAGTTTTTTTGAAGAAGGGAAGAAAACCAAACTAAATTATAACAAACAATATTTAACTTACAGTACTAAAAACTACTAGTTTAAAATTTTGGAAATCTACTTTCATTATACTGAATGAAAATATACACTTTCAAAAGTCTACCAACATTTCCTAGTCTAGTTTTCTATTAGAAATTAAAAAGTTAAATTCATTGTGGAAATAAACAGAATTTTAAAATTAACAAAAGACTAAATTAGGATAATCAAAATATAAGCATCCTAACTAATCAAAACAATTCATTGGTGCAATGAATATCTGAACAATGGAAAAATCACCAAGCATCCTAACAAATAGATAGTTTATTTTCGCATATTGTAATTCTGGGCTTTCAGCACAGTTCCTTACTAAATAGGTTGATTTTGTGGACTGTTTAAATTTTGTAGCATTACATTAGTATTTTAAAATATTACCCTTTCTAAACCAAATCTGCCACCCTAATCAATTTTTTTTTTTCAGGGAAAAGAAAGAATTTTTAAAGATACATTCCGGAGCAGTAGGAACATTTTAGCGTTTCAAAATATTTACAAAGAACCCTGCTGGTCCTGTGCATTTCGCTGAGGCGCTACTTGCACCCAGACTTCATCATCAGAAAAAGAACTTGAACTTCCTGACTCAGAGTCTAGCTCACTATATCCATCTAAGTCCCATTCAGTACTAGACTCACTCCGTGCATCATCTTCCTCAGTGATAAAACTCTGACCAGGCTCAAGGCAGGAAGGATAAACACGAGCACAGAGGCAAATAAAGCCAGAATCAAACTGCAAAAGACCTAACATGGTACCTACGTTAATCCACTGGTCTTCTCTAGTATCATATTCATACACGGTCACGCGGTTCTTTTTCCATTGCGGGGTGGTAGAAGTGATAAGCAGCAACTTTTGGTCGTGATTGACGATCTGGTAGTTGTGGGTCTCTGAGTCCAAGGGAATATTACTAATCTGCCTCCATTCTCCTCTAGCTGGGTTGTAGACCTTCATGACCGGAATGTCACAAATACAATAGATCTCATCATTGAAGACACATGCTTCCTGAAAGTCACTGCGTTTAAGAGAAGCACAGTTCAGCCACATATTGTGGCTAGGATCATAGCAGAGCATGCGTTTACTGTTGACAGCAAAAAGATAGTTCTGCACCACTATTAGCTCAAAGGAATAGAAAGAATGAGGTACAGGAGCCACCAGTGCCCACTGGTTCCTCTGAACACTGTAGCATTCCACTTCCTTCAGTTTAACTCCAGTAATAGGGTCTCGCCCACCCAAAATGTAAATGTAGCCATTGAGGTATGCCACATCCATGCCCTCACGACACAGCAAGCGGTCTGCAAGTTGCTGCCAACTATTCTGGGCTGGTTTATACACCCAGAGGTCTTTCCTGGGCTGGGCAGCAAGATAGATGTCATGGTCTGGAGAGATACAGACAGCTGAGGAGGTGACAGTTTTAGTGTGAGCCAAGCTGGTCAAAGGTGATGGCATTGTGTAAATATCCCCTGAGTATGGGTCATAGCAGAGAAAGGGATCTCTGGGATGTCCAAAGAAGACCACCATCTCCTTGGCACACATTCCCAGCCTCTGGGGTGGATTTTCTGCTGCAGATACAACAGAGCTGCTGCTGCTGCTGTTCGGCTTTGGCACCAGAGACTTATACAACAAATCACCATAGCGCATCTGCAGGGCTCCTTCAATAATGTCCTGGCAGTACTTTTTCACAATAGGTTTGGTCAGTAGCCCTTCCAGGTAGTCCTGATCTTCTTCAGTGAAATGCATCCAGCGGACACACTTGAAGACTTCTGCAGCACTGGGACCCCGCTCTTTGGGAGCAGCCTCTAGCCACTGCATGGCCACGTGGCACACGGTCCGCTCACTCTCTATGTCCAGACTATCCAGGCGAAGGACAGCCAGCAGCTGGGCCAGAGTCAGATCTGCTAGAGTCTCCTCCCGAACTGAACCCATCCGGCTTAGGTGCTTGAAGTTGTGAGCTATAAAAGACTGAGCCTGAGATCGGAGCTTGTGATGGTCAAAGGCGTCGGCAAACTTGAGAATGGCGGTGCAGTTGGTCAGGTCAAGACGGCGGGCTAAGAAGGAGGCACAGGCCTCCCGCACGTACTCCAGCTGGAGCATGTCTGAGGCTGCGTACAGGCGCTGCACGTTGGCCTCACTCAGGGACACACGACCCGTGTAGCAGTAGTCGACCAACACCTCGAAGGACTCCGCGTCCACATCGTGTATGGTCACGCTGGTCTGCTGGCTCTCGTACATGCCGCCCGTGAACATGCTCTTGAAGTAGGGACACGCCGCAGCCAGTACGTTGCGGTTGCAGGAAAAAAGGCGACCCGTGCCAGGCCCGCTCCCGGGCGTCACCACCTCGATGGTCACATCACACAGCAGCCGAGCGTCGTAGAAGGACTTGAGCTGTGCCAGCAGGGCTGCAGAATGGGCCGTGTCCTTTAATTCCTCTGGGCCCGTGAAAAAGGCCGAAACCGAGGGCTTGGAAATCCTTTTGGGCCGCCTGCCACCGCGGGGACTGGCGAGGCGGCGAGAGCGCGGGGCGTCTTCCCGGGACTGCATGGTGGAGATGGCGGCGGCAGAGAACGGCTGCAGGCACCCGGCTCTGGCTCCTCCTCAGCCTTCCCTTTCTGACGCTAAGATAGCGGCGTCCCAGAACAGACTAGGGCACCTCCCGCCCTCACTTACTTCAGCGCTACGCCGCGGTGCCACCTCCCTTTACCGCGCAAACAGTTCCTGACTCACCCCTTTCAAGTCCGCGCCCTTTCTCCGCCTCAAGTCGCCCACACAGGATCCGGGGCTGGAGCCAAGGGAGCCGCCACTGCGCCGCGCTGGCGATGCCGGTAGGCGTCCCGGAGAACTACCGCTCCCAGGGTGCCTTTCGCGCCTCGAGATGCGCTGGGGCTTTTCGGACCTCCGGTTAGAAACTGGGGGCCGGAAGCCGCGTTGCACACTGGGAGTGGTAGTTTGTGTCATATCGCGAGGTTTTGTGTCTGCTTTTTCTGACAGAAAGCGGTAATTGTCCTGCGTTTGATGGTTAAGTACAGAATAGAAGCTCCGTTTCATTATTCATTAATAGTGTGGCTTCCCTCTGAGAAATTTTCCACCATTATAAAATGAGGATAATATTTCATAGGATTGTGTGAAGACTGATATAAATTACGTAGGACGCTTTGATAACTTATTTTTTATTAGAAGAACAACGTGCTACACCCTGCCTAGAATAGAAAGAGTCCAAAATTGTTAGCTTTTCTTTTAGAATTTACGACAAATGAAGTACCCACTAATTTGAAACCATGACTCTTTTCTTTTAAACCTGCAAATTTCTCAAAAGAAATAACTTCCAGCTTGAATTTTTCTCTTGAAAGCTTCTGAAGAGTATTAACAATATTCTCAATACTAAACAAGGTCCATCGGTCCATTGGGATGTCTGACACGACTAAGCTGAGGTCCTAGAAAACAGCATTTATGGATGGCCTTAAATATGCAAACCGGGCATATTAAAATAGATGGTTTGGTGCTCTCAGAAAATTAACATTTCACGTCTAGGGAGCAAGAGTATTTTCATTAAGCTCTTAATATAAGTGTTTTCAAGTCGTCCAATATAGCTGTTTTCACTGCCGTTCCACAAATTAATTTAAGACTCTGCAAATGCTTTTATTAAGGTGTTTTAGGGAGAATTATAAATCAAAACATTTTAACAAACAGACCTTGAAGAAAAGCACGATTCTCAGCGTTTGGCATTCATACATGCCCTGACATCCCTTGAATTAATACAGTACGGTCTAAGCTTAAAAACAAGCCTTTTCTATATGCATCAATCAGCATTGTCTGTTAGTTAAATTGCCAAAATCAATGAATTAGAGATTGATTTTTTAAGAGAACTTTTACTTGAAAACCAACCACTTGCAGCACTATTCACAATAGCCATGGTATGGAATCAACCTAAGTGTCTATCAACTGATGAATGGATAAAGAAAAGGTGGAATCTAAAAAAGCTGACCTCAAAGAAGTAGAGAGTAGAATAATGGTTCCCACAGGCAGAGAAGGGGAGAGAGGACAGCAGTAAAGACTGTGCAGACACTGGTAAACAGGTGAAAAGTCATGGTTGGATAAGAATAAGATCTGGTGTTCTACTGCACGTTAGTGTGACTATGGTTAACAATATTGTATATTTCAAAATAGCTAGAAGATTTTGAATGTTCCCATGAAATGATAATGTATGAGGTGATGGATGTGCCAAATACCCTGATTTGATCATTACACAATGTATACAGTGGGCCCCTGGTATCCATGGGTTCTGCATCTTCGGATTCAACCAACAGAAGATAGAAGATATTCGGGGGAAAAAAAGAAAATAATAAAAAACAATACAACAATAAAAAATAATACAAATAAAAATACGGTATGACTATTTACATAATATTTACATTGTAGTAGGTAGTGTAGGTAATGCAGAGATGATTTAAAGTATGCAAGAGGATGTGCATAGCTTATGTGCAAGTACTACACCATTTATATAAGGGACTTAAGCATGTGAGGATTTTGGTGTTCATAGGGTCCTGAACCAATCCCTGAGGATCCAAGGGATGACTGTAAATGTATTGAAACATCACACTGTATCTCATAAATATGTACAATTATTATATGTCAATTTTTTTAAAAAGCTAGGAAATCAATAAATAAAAACCAATGACTGCTTTTGTTGCTAGTTTGCCATGAGTTACCATAACCCAATGAAGGAAATCTTTGATGTTACATGCATAGGTGAATAACACATAGCAGGAGAATAACTCTCAAATTGTTTTTATCTCTTTTCTTATCAGCTGAAGAGGGTCTACCAGAAATACTCCAGGGTAGATACATTAAACTAAGTTGGGCTCTGGTTCCAATATCTCCTCTATACATAAAAAGAGATGTTGTTGGGTATCCTCAGATACACCAGCGAAAATTAAGTCAGTCATCAGCAGTAACACCCATTGTTTTCTCACCTGCACTGAACATCAGCTGGGAAAGCAATTTTTTAAAACCTTAAAAAATATTGGTAAAATATACATAACATAAAACTTACCATTAAAAAAATTTAGGACCAACCCGTGGCTCACTTGGAAGAGTGTGGTGCTGAAAACACCAAGTCAAGGGTTAAGATCCCCTTACCGGTCATCTTTTTAAAAAAGTTTAAGTCTACGTTTCTTTAGCGTTAACTATATTTACACTGTTTTGCAACCATCACCACCATCCATCTCCAGAACTCTTTTTATCTTGCAATCTTTTTAAAAAAGTTTAAGTCTACGTTTCTTTAGCGTTAACTATATTTACACTGTTTTGCCACCATCACCACCATCCATCTCCAGAACTCTTTTTATCTTGCTGAACTGAAAAACTGTATCCATTAAACAATAATTTCCCATCCCCCCAACTTCTGGCAATCACCATTATACTTTCTGTCTCTAGGAATTTGTCTATTCTAGGTACCTGACATAAGTTCAGTGATTGATTTTTAACTTCCTTATATCTGCCCTTACTGTGTTATTTAGATTTACTGTGGTTTAGATTGCCTTCCACAAAATCCAGAATATTTCTTAGTCACTGTTCACTAAGATCTAGAGCAATGCTGTCTCATAAAACTTTCTGGGATGTTGAAAACATTTTATATCTGTGCTGACTGATATTGTAGCCAGAAACCACATGTGGCTTTTGAGTACTTGAAATGTGTCTAGTGAAAGCGAGAATCTGAATTTTAAATTTTAGAAACACAGCGTTGATACCAATGCAATTCAACGGAGAAAGGAAATTGTTTTCAACAAATGGTGTTGGAACAACTGGATCAAAATGTAAGACAAAAATTAATCTTGGCTCCTATTTTATACCGTAAACAAAAATTAATTCTGAAATGATTCTTTGAATTAAATGGAAAAGCAAAAACTATAAATCTTCTAAAAGAAAACAAAGAAGACTATCTCTGAACTTTGGGGTTGGCAAAGATTTCATAGGACACAAAAAACACTGATCATTAAAAAAAGAGGGGGACTTCACAAAATTACAAGCTTCTGTCCATCAAAAGGCAGTGAAAACAAAATGAAAGGTAAGCCATTAACTGGGAAAAAATATTGGTAATACATATACCCAATGGCCAAAAAACATACGAAAAGATGCTGTATTTCTGTTGTTATAACAGAAGAAAATAGTCCATTTCTTTTTTTTTTTTTTTTTGTTCTTTTTGAGACAGGCCGCACCGCGCTCAGCCAGTGAGTGCTGTGAGCGCACCGGTCATCCCTATATAGGATCAGAACCCGCGGTGGGAGCGCTACTGCGCTCCCAGCGCTGCACTCTCCCAAGTGCGCCACGGGCTCAGCCCAAAAGTCCATTTCTGTTGCTTATAACAAAGTACACAGGTCTGGGTAATTTATAAGAAAATGAAATTTATTGCTGACAGTTTCTGAGGCTGAGAAGTCCAAAGTCCATCTGGTGGTTGATAGTGACCCAGGGGTCTCACGTTGCAAGGTGGTAGATGGAAGCAGAGAGAGCAGAGAAAGAGAAAGACAGACTCTCCTCTTCTTTTAAGCCCTCGGAATCACACCCCTGACCACCGTTATTAACCCATTCACTATGGTATGGTCCTACGATCTAACCACCTTTTAAGACCCCACATTTAATTACCATAATAGGATTTCCCACCCTTTTAACAGTCACAGTGAGTGCTGTGAGCGCACCGGTCATCCCTATATAGGATCAGAACCCGCGGTGGGAGCGCTACTGCGCTCCCAGCGCTGCACTCTCCCAAGTGCGCCACGGGCTCAGCCCAAAAGTCCATTTCTGTTGCTTATAACAAAGTACACAGGTCTGGGTAATTTATAAGAAAATGAAATTTATTGCTGACAGTTTCTGAGGCTGAGAAGTCCAAAGTCCATCTGGTGGTTGATAGTGACCCAGGGGTCTCACATTGCAAGGTGGTAGATGGAAGCAGAGAGAGCAGAGAAAGAGAAAGACAGACTCTCCTCTTCTTTTAAGCCCTCGGAATCACGCCCCTGACCACCGTTATTAACCCATTCACTATGGTATGGTCCTACGATCTAACCACCTTTTAAGACCCCACATTTAATTACCATAATAGGATTTCCCACCCTTTTAACAGTCACGGGGGGCTGAGTTTCTAATACATAAAACTGGGAGGAGACAATTCAAGACCTCGCTCAGCCAGTGAGCGGGAACCGGTCTGTATGTGGGATCCGAACCCTCGGCGGGAGCGCTGCCGCGCTTCCCAAGCGGCGCACTGTAGCAGTGCGCCACCGGGCCGGCCCCAGTCATTTTTTTTAAAAAAAAGAAAACACCAGACGCTCACTAGAATGGCTAAACATAAAAAGATCAACAATTCTAAATATTGGTGAAGATATGGAACTGCTAGAACTCTCATATATTAATAATAGAAATATGAATTGGTATATTTACATCAGAAAAATTTTTGATAATTTCTTTTAATGTTAAACTCCCAGTAATTTCACTCATGTGCATTTGCCCAAGGGAAATGAAAACTTAAATCCATGAAAAGACTTGCATAGGAATTTTCATAATAGCTTTATTCAGGGGTTCGGGTCAAGATGGCAGAATAGATGGACCACAGTGTCACTCTCTCCCACAAATCAACCAAATTTACAACTATAAAAATGTAACATCAGCCAAGCTCAGGCTGCTGGAGCTCAGAAGAGGAGGAGAGACCTACACAGTTCATGAAGGCAGGAGAAACTACGATGAGAGAAAGAAAAAGCTGCTCTGAGCATTTTGGGCCACGGCTGCTTTAAGGCTCAAACAGCTGAGCACATGGAGCAGAAGCTGGCAGAAGCCGGAGCTGTGCCCTTCA